GATTACAAAATGGCACAACCGCGTAGCTGTCGTGCTATTGTTTAAAAAAAATTCGATTGCAGGATTTGGTAGTGATTACAAAAAGGATATGATTAATGTAATAATAGTTCATTTTTTATAAATATAATTACAGTAATTGTAATAATAATTGTACAAAAATAAAAAAATTGGAATTGAACAAATTTCTCATAATACTGTACCTTTGTAACTTGCTTGTTTCATGATTTGTATAAATCCTATTAGGCCATGTAATGTCTTCTCTGCATCATGCCTATACAGTTTGCATGAGAACATCGTACTTGGTAGAAAGCACAAACCTCTTAGCATTTTTTAAGCTATTGCAGCTTGTGGTTCAAGTCATCACATACATCTTTTGTGACTCCCTCATCTATACAAATCATAAATAAGAATAATAATGTGAATAAAAGAAATGTAACTACAGGTATAAACATCAATATATTGTTATTCTGTTTAGCTACATGTGAACCAAACCCCAGTGTTCAATTTCTAAAACAACCTCTGGGCCTCTTAGTCAGGGCACGGCTAACTGACAGATTGAACCCTGAAACAACCTCTGTGCTGATCTAAGTCAGGACAGGGCTAACTCACAGATTGAATCCTGAAACAACCTCTGGGCTGATCTAAGTCAGGGCACGGCTAACTCACAGATTGAACCCAGAAACAACCTCTGGGCTGATCTAAGTCAGGGCATTGCTAACTCACTGATGGAACCTTGAAACAACCTCTGGGCTGATCTAAATCAGGGCAGGGCTAAATCACAGATTGAATCCTGAAACAACCTCTGGGCTGATCTAAGTCAGGGCACAGCTAACTCAGAGATGGAACCCTGAAACACCTCAGGGATGATCTACGTCAGGGCACAGCTAACTCACAGATGGAACCCTGAAACAACCTCTGGGCTGATCTATGTATATTATTATGTCAGGTACTCAGATTTATTTCTTGACCTTATTTCTTGTTCTATTACTACTATAATCATGATAATAATTAAGTATTCAGTGCTTTCATGATATGTCAAAGTATCATGATCAGTATCTCGTTGAAGGAAAGTCCAAGTTTAGCATGAAATTTGATTTGAATAATAAATTGTTGTCTATCTCTTTACAGTTGACAGAGTGAATATACAGTGTATATGCAAGTAGTGCATTCAAACCTTGGCAAAAAGACAAAAGGTGATTCAAGCCAGATGCGAGCTCACAGACCAATAACAACAAGTGTGCTGTAAGAATTAATTAGCATACAGCCAATCACAGTCTATTATATATAAGCATACAATGACGCTGGGGGTCAGCACAAGAAATCCTGTGTGCTGTTTCGCTTGGCAATGGGCTATTAAGCCTAGGAATCCAGGAGTCCAGCAGAATAATCTGATTTGTCCAGATAATTAGTAATCCAAAAACTCTAGTAACAATTTTCACTAGCCCAGAGGAAAGATTTGCTATAAAAAATAATAATAATAAACTTATGTTTTACAACCACCACTCCCCATGCGGGGCTCTTCCGTGAGGTTCCCTCTACACGCACTACCACTACATTCTATATTTACAACATACAACACTCAACTCACATGTTGCTTTTTATGGAGGGAGGAAACCGGAGATTCTGGAGAAAACCCTCGTGGCAATTAGGGAGAGAACAACACAACAAACAAACTCAACTCACATATGATCCAGTCTGAGCTGGGGCTCGAACCCGGACCACAGTGGTGAGAGGCGAGCGGTAAACCACTACACCAACCATGCCACCCATATATAGTCCCAGACTAGTGGACCAGCATTAGTGTTGAGCAATGAAACAACTTCTGGGCTGATCAAAGTCAGGGCATGCATACATGTATGCTACCACTTACAGATGGAACCCGGAAACCTCAAGTCAGAAGAACATGCAGAAAAATCCTTGAGTAAAGGGGCATACTGTATGTAACCACTTCAACACACATGTGATGCCGAGACCAGGAATCAAAACTGAGACAGTTTCCTGTCAGTTACAAGAATAGTAGCCATGGAAACAGTACTGTAGTTCTCTCTATCAGTACTGTCTTATGATACCAATAAGCTACACCTCACCTAGAAGGCAGGGGCTATTTCCCCTTGTACTACAATTTATACTTAAAATATATACTTAGATACATGTCTGTAATGAACTTATACCCCTGACAAGAAACTCCAGAAATAATCACAACAGATCCTTTAAAATTCCTCTCAAGAAAAAAAACATCACATACAATACAGCTTTCTACCATGGACAAAGCAATGGAACAATCTGAGTTAGTCACAGCCCAAAATGTTAATGCATTTAAAAGTGGGGTCTGTAAATTAAAACCATGACTTTGAGATTGGCCTACCCAAGCACTTATGCCTCGAAGAGAGGGATGCTTGTATTTTGGTAAATATAAATAAATGTGAGGCCAATTAGGGGGGTTTGATTCCTGGACTGTCCATCCTATGAGAGGTTCTCTCCTGTGCTTGGAGGGTTTTTTCATGGTTCTATTGTTACCTACCTAAATATTTTCAACTTGCAAAATTCAAATTCAAATTCTATCAAGGTCAAAAGTG